GGAGAAGCAAAGAACAATGGCACTGGGTTTTGATCCTGCTGCATGTACTGGCTTTGTGGGAGCCTAGTCTATTTGGTTGTGCACCTTCCTAGACCTGGATGGAGGTGGGAGGACCTTAGACTTCCCACAGGGCATGGAACCCTGACTGCTCTTTGGACTGAAGAGGGAGGGGGAGGGGAGTGGGGGAAGGGGGAGGGGAGTGGGGGAAGGGGGAGGAGAGTGGGGGAAGGGGGAGGAAAATGGGAGGTAAGGAGGAGGCGGAAATTTTTTTAATAATAAAAAATAAATAAAATTACTTGATCAGGTTAATTAAAAGAAAGATGTATTGTTTCTTTTCTTGATTTGTAATTCTGTATATGAAGTCTTTTCATTACCATGTTTATAATAAATATTTTAGCTCATATTTTTATTAACTTTCTCATGTTTTTTAATTAAGGGATATAGGAATTAATTTTAATGTCATTGCTTATTATATTTTTTTTGATTTTTAGAGAATTGTTCCATTTGTGACATATGACTGGAATGTTTATACCTTTTGCTTCTGACAAAGATACACTGGACATAGAATATTGCTGTCACCTCAGGACATTTTTCTCTTCTACCATGTTCTAGCTATTCATCACTCACAAGTAAGCAGAGCTCTGATTTCTAGCACTTGGGATATTTTTGCCTATAATAGTAGGTTCTTGTGAATTGGCAGAAGCCAGCTTTAGCAGAGTGCTAATTTCCTCCATCTGTGAATTTCTTTTTTTATTTACTTCACCTAAAAATATTATGGTGATTTTGGCATTCATAAATTTGATTTTTTTGATGAATTATGGCTGATTTCTTTTTATAGTCATACTTTAGTGTTATATGTAAGGAAGAGTTGTCTTTAATTGCACCCATATTAAATTAATTCTTGAGTGTGTTATGAACCAAAGTATGGATAGCATCAAGTTCCAACATCAATGAGTTTTATTTTGGTTACTTACAAAAATTATGGTGAAGGGTTGCTTACAGGAGCAGAAATAACTGAAAGTCAGCTGCATCACCAATGCATGCCCTAGAAGGGGTAACAACTCACAAAACCTGGGCATCTGCTTCACACTGCACAGGTTGCAGATATCTCAACAGTTCAGAGAGTGTCTTTCCAACTGATTCAGTTGATCTAAACATCTTCCAGGCAGTTGGTCTGGTCTCGGAGTTTACTTTGCAGGTTGACTTGTCTGAGAGTCTTCTTTGCAGGTTGGTTACACTGAGGGGCACTCCCAGATTGCTTACTCTGGCATAGAGGAGCCTAGTGAATTTTATCATTTTGAAGGACTTCCTGAAACTATTTTGAGTTGCTTACCTTCTTGCTTAACCCTGCAGGATGGATTGTTTCAATCTTAGAGGAAACTACTGTACAACAGAGTCATATGATGTTGTACAGTAGTTTCTAGAATGATGGCATGTACATGCATGCCATCATTCTAGAACAATTTATTTTTTTTTAATGCCTTACTTTTCTCTAGGTATCTGAAGAAATGCTTGTGATCTGGAGACTACTACACCACTCACCTATGTTCTGACCTATCAGGCCAAGCAGTTTCTTTATTAATTAGACAATGAAAGCAACACATAGAAAGAAGACCTACTTACATCAAAGTACACCATTAAACCTGAAGGAGAGGATTCATGCTGGCTGGAAAACATACCTGATTCTTGAACATAAACTTTTGAAGTCTTCTGATATTTATTTCAGGGAAGCTCTCAAGTCAAGTTACTATTTGTAAAGAAGAATCTTACTGAATAGGAGTGAGAAAACTGGGGAAGACATGCAAAAATTGCATGTTTAACAGAGTTATTAATAATTATCTAGCCATAGTAGAGTCTAAAATATTATTTTGTTGAGTTGTATTTTTTGATTATCCATATGTAGTATAAATAACAAATTTCAAATATTTTTGATGCTCTTAATCTCTAAGAAGAATGAAAGACAAAAGGAGGTATGCACACTCTAGCACCTTGAACAATGGCTGTCTTGGATGTCTTAGTAATCAAGGAAAATTTGATTCACAGGAAAAAAAAATCTCTCTACCCAAGAATTTTCTTTTTATTACTAGACACGAAAATGTCTTCAGTCATTTTGAAAGAAAGACTATAAATTTAAGAATTAGCTAGGTGATACTGACCTATTGCTACATCTATGGAGTGTTTTTAATTTTAATGTAATTACATAATTTTACCTTTCCTGCTTCAGACTGTTTCATATACCCTTCCTTGTTCTCTATCAAATTACTGACCTTTTATCATTAATTGTTGTTATATGAATATATATTTTAAATTATTATAATATATGCATATGATTATTATAAAATGATTAATGCATTGATACCTTAATCAGATTTTTAAAATAAAAATGTTTTAAAATATTATTTTATTTTTAAAATAAAACAGAGTCTATGGAATAGATGTTTCCTTCCGAAACACCACCAGAGGGTCCATGCTGGCTGGAAACACACCTTAGTCTTCACCATAAAGTTTCATTACCTCCTGTTATTTATTTTAGGGAAACTCTCAAATCACACACCACACACATACACAAACACACACACCACACAAACACACACACAACACACACACTCACATTCACATACACTTATATACACCTACAATTAACCACATCATATTTACTCTGCATAACATTGTATGCTTGTTTCAGAGCTGACCTCTTGATTCTGAGTGACAAATTGGTGTACTGTTCCCTGAGGAAAGACTGTATCTCTTACTCTCGGCATTTCTTAGCTAATTGTAGAACTTCGTGTTGGGTTGAGGCAATGTGGTCTTTCCTCCTTGCATGTCATTACATCCGTTGTTGTTTTTCTTTAGTTCATGGTTATCCAGGATTTTTGGACAGTGTTTTATCTATCAGGTATATTTTGCTACTTAAATGAACTAAGAATCACCTTTTGAAGTTCAACAACTATGTACAGTTTGTGAAATACATAATCAAAATCACATCTATCTATTCTTTGATTAAGCTTATCAGAAATTCTTCTAAAGCAGGCATTTTCAGCTTTGGTGAAATTATAATTTCAAGTGTGTTGTAAAGTTTATACAGGAATTAATTTTGCTTTATTTTTCACTTATGCTTCCTTAAAAGAAGAAAACTTGTAATTTTTAAATAAAGGTCTTGCACATAATTTAAAGTTTGCATATCTTGGAGTACATATTGAAATTTTCTTTCAGATTCCAGACAAATCCAAAATATCATCAAATTTGGAACAGAAGTGCCCTGAAGTATTGCATTATCCATTTGAATGGAAACCAAAAGGAAGTGTAGTTATTTGAAGTGAATGCAAATAGTTTATACTAGATACTCATGGTTTTTCTACCCACAAGCTTAATTTAATCATCTCCCCTCTTTCCTTATGCTCTTAAAAAGTCTTTATCAGCCACATTTTTAACATCTCAAACTTCGACTGGGGAGTGTATGTTACACCGCACAGTTAAGGAGGTTTTGTTTGTACCACAGCCACTAGAAAACAATTGAGAAATGGAAATCTGAGTGAGTGTGGGAGAGGATGAGAATATTTTTAAAAAATTACAAAAGAGTTGCAGAAATTTTTTGATGACTCTGTAAAATCTATCCAAAAGAGGCAGCATCTGACATATAAATATAAAGGTATATGTGTATACATTTTTGACTAGTCAGCAAGAAGTTTCTCATTTTAGTTACAAAAAACACAGTCTTTTAATAGACTGTGAGATAATAATGCTTGTTAATAACATGCAACAACATTCTAATTACCAAGGGCTCTCATGACATGTTTTAACCAGGGCTATTAATTTATATGCTACAAATTCTTTTAAAAAGCCGGACCTAGCTTCATCTATGATACTAATTGAACATCATAGAAAATCTTCTACTTTTGTGATTCTAGATTTATTATTAACACAAGCAACTAATCTAGAAATGAAAAAAGTTGTCGTTTAGCCAAATGATTCATATTTTAGTGTCCAATGTATGTAATAATCTTAATCAAGGATGTTTAAAACTATCTATACCTTATACACAATAATAAAATAAATCCTAACATTGAAATAAAGTGAAATGAGTCATTATTGCAGGTTGATTATATTAGAAAAAGCAGTTTTAACTTCGGGATTTTTCAAATGAATAATCACCACATAGGTTATAATACTTGTGTTAATAACTTTTCAGTTAGATAAAACGTACTGGTGATGAATTAAAAGTCATTGCAAATATAACCTAAAATATTCCATTGACAGTATCTTAGTAGATGAAGCTGGTTTCATTACTAATTCAGTACTAATTAAGACTATGAAACTTGAATTATCATGAAATTGCAGATACCCCTGTGAGATGAAACAGTATTGTCTTAGGTACACATAAACTTCCTTCCCACCAATAATATTACTAGCCAAATACTCTAAAAGATTTAATAGACAGACAAGCCAAATTTGTTAATGTAATAATTTAATCTAAATTTGTTAATGTAACAATTTAATCTATATTGGACATCAAAGAAGGGGATAAAATATTATTCATTCAAATGCCATATGTACACATCATAACACCTACCTAAGGTTTTAGGCTTGTGGCTTTGTCACTAACAAGAAACCAGGAACTTGGATTGAACATTAGAACTTTCTCTAGTTGCTACATCACTAAAAATTTCTTAACAACCTGTTGATAACTTTGTTTTCTTTTTTCAATATTGTTAGTAATTCTTTGAGAATCCCATATATTGCATTTTGATTATATTCATTCCCCTCCCCCATCTCTTCCCAGATTCTATAACCACCAAACTGTGTGTTTTCATTTATTTTTATAACCCACCCACCATTGTTCTGCTCATTATTTTGGATGTGTGACTTTCACAGGAATTTGTTTAGGATCAGCAGTCATATCATTCAACAAACTCTTCAAAGCATGAATGTTCTCAGATATCTCTAAACTCCACTCCAGTGTAAGTCCACCTGACACAATAGAATAGTAGGTAGTCACTCACCATTCTGTTCCCGCTGCACCCCAGCTGCCAGTAGGTCAGGCTCCCCAAGGCTGATGTCATTCAGCCTTGTCCCCAGGCATTCCATGCAAAGGTGTTTGCACCACTCCTCAGCCTCCAGCTCTGAAAATGAGCACACATGTCAGGGCAGGGGAAGGCAGTGTGAAAATGCTTTCTGCACATCCCCCAAGATGATGGTAGGACTTGAACAAAGAAAGATATGTTGAAGAATCAGGGAAATAATTTTCCACAATTTTTTCTCATTTATTATTATTATTATGTGTGTGTGTGTGTGTGTGTGTGTGTTTGTGTGTATGTGTGTGTGTGTGCATGCTCGTGTGTCCAAAAGCCAGAAGAGGGCATCAGATCCTCTGATGCTAGAGTTATAACAATTGTAAACTGTCTAATGTGGGTGATAAGAACTGAACTTAGATCTTCTGAAGAAGCAGCATGTGTTCTTAACCTGAGTCATTTCTCTAGCATCTAGTTCCCATTTTTTTTTTGAAAGTAATTTTATTAAATTATAAAGAGTTTCCATTTACGCCCCTCCTCCCAACGCCCTCCCACTCCCCCCCTCCCTCTTCTCCTCCCTCTTTGTCCCCAAGGGCAGTCAGGGTCTCCTGCCCTGTGGGAAGTCCAAGTTCCTCCCCCTTCCCTCCAGGTCCAGGAAGGTGAGTATCCAAACAGACTGGATCCCAAAAATCCAGTATATGCAGAGGAAACCATTTCAACATGCTTTTATGTATTAACCATAATACTACTCATTTTAGAATATTTTAGAATGAGTAAGTTTTTGACAGAAATTTATTAAAAAAGTAACAAATATAAAATAAAAAATAAACAAGTGAACAATTGAAAGAAAAACTATATTAAGCATGTGAATTTTTTCCTCATTCTGCTTCAGAAGTACGTACCCTGGAGGTCAGATCCCTAACTCATTGAGAATTGCAATGAATTGTGAATTTGTCCTAGAATGGGATTAATGTATGTATTAGGATTCCTTTACTATAAAGAGGAGGGAGGTGCCATGATTGTGCCTTGATTTCTATGTAATGTGAGTCCTACAGGTTTCTATGTCTGAATATTTAGTCCCTTGGTGGTGACATGTTTGGGGAGGTTGTAGAATAGTTAAAACAATAATCCTCAGTCTGTGGGTCACAACCCTTTCGGAGGTCCTATGACCTTTCACATCTAAGACCATTTGCATAACAGATATTTAAATTATGATTTATAGCAGTTACTATAGATAAGCAATGACAATGAAAATAATTTTATAGTTGGAGGTTACCACAAGATAAAGAACTCCTTTAAGTGGTCATAGCATTAGGGAATTTGAGAACCATTGCTTTAGAATGTGATTCTGCTAAAGGAGGTAGATTGCCTCGAGGTAGGGCTTGTGACTTTTAGGTGGTCTTGCTTCCAGCGTGTCGGAGACATCTAATACTTGACATCTTATAACACCTACCAAGGAGCAAGATCAGTCCTGTAACCTCGCAGTTGGATGGATTTACTAATACTGATTTCTTCTGAACCATAAGCCAAGATAAATCAGTCTTCCATTTCAGTAAGGCTTGCTATCACAGTAATGACAAAAGTGGCCAATACACATCTACAGAGTAACTTTCCAATTAATTAATCACTCATTATTCTTGTAGAAAATTACTTAAAGGTGTGTTGCTTTTTTATGCTGCATTTGTTTAACTCTGTGAAGCTATGATTCATTGCCAATCTAAAACACCTGATGGTCTAATACAGAGATGAACAGCCAATAGTGAAGTAGCAGAAAGGATACATGGGGCTGGAAGTATAGAGTATAAATAGGAGGAAAACTCTGGGAAAAGAAAAAGGAACAAGATGAACAAGGAAAGGAGAATGGCAGTGACCAGCCACCCAACCAGCCAGCCAGTCATGGAGTAAGAGTGAAAGCAAGAAAACAGAAATAGAGAAAGGTAAAAGCAGAGGCAAAAGATAGAAAATTTTAAGAAAAACTGGCTAGAAACAAGCCTAACTCAGGACGGACATTTATAAGAAAGTGTAAGTCTCTCTCTGTGTAATTTATTTGGGAGCTGGGTCCCAGGTCTCCCAAAAAGCCAAAGAGTAAAACAAACAAACAAATATAAGTCAAAGAGTACACACACACACACACACACACACACACACACACACACAAGCAAACAGCAACATTTTGTCATTCCGTAACAGAAAATTCAACAACACATTCTTGTTCGGATTATGTCTCCATTTCATTGTATTCAAAACATACTCCTTTTCTTTGCTAGAAATACCAGAGTTTCTCCCATATAACTAAAATCCCACAATATGAAAGCTCTAGGGTTTTGTTCACATGCGTTACCAAGGTTCTAATATGATGTCACTGTGGATGAGGGGTCAATGATCGAATAGGAACCAAGTAGCCAAGCTACTTTGCAGATTTTTTAAAATAAATATAAAGTTTAATATTCAGGGGGCAATCACCAATATCACAACAGGAAATTGGATCCAAACTTTTGCCTTGGCACCTGCCCAGAGAAGTTTCTGACTTTTCCATGCAGCATAAATCTGTACTGAAACTATGTAATATAGATTTCCATCAAACCTCTTGTTCTTCGTGGATGACACTACAACCTTTGCTTTGACATTTTAAACTCCCCATAAAAAGTTGTCTGTGACAGGTTTTCTTGACTTCAGGGATTTTAATACCAAGTTCTTTTCTACCATTAGGCCAATTCTAGTAAGGTCAAATCATGCTTCCCTTTGGAGTTTGGTCACACTGCCTTAACATCAAATAGGCTTGATTAACATGTTGTCAAGAGAGATTTGTTGCTTCTTTTTAGTTTTATGTAGATCACAACATTCACTGGAACATAAAACAGAAAGATCCTGTATTTTATCACATAATCAAAACAGTGTCCCTGATATTATAATTAGGGGAAGCATTATAACTACCTCTGGTGCTGTTGAGATATTTTAGCATTTATAAAATTATTTTGTATTTGTCTTATTATAATCAGATTTCTGCATGTGGGTATGTTAGTCATTTAAGGAATATTTATTAGAAACTGATAATGTCCTTCCTTCAAGGCTGAAGATACCATGTAGTAACTAAAGTTTCAAAAATTCTAGACGTATTTATAGCATTTTTTCCCTGAACTCTGGAATACACTGAAAATCCTCAAGTCATTACATGAAACCTGCAGTCACTTTGGATTCTAGGAACAAGAAAGTTTGTAAGCAGGAAACTTCTTTATGAAATTGCTCTTTCTAATTAGGGAAACTTCCCATAAATGGGAACAACTTCCCAGTCATGAGAACAGCTGCCCCATAACGGGAACCAATGCCACATCACAAGAATACAGCAGTACTCTGAAAGAGCAACCATTTCAGGATGGAACAAGCAAATAATGGTTCTCAGAGTCCCCTCATAATAAGAAAGTCTCCTCAACTAGACCAAAGTCTGAACAAACTAGTTCTTACGCATACTTCTGTTTCAGTCCTTCCCCTGTTTAATCCAATATTTACACCAGTTGCCCCCAAATGGAGATAAAGATTATTGTACTGTTGTCTCATATGATTCTGTTGAGTATTAAATTTTTTCCACCTTCAACATTGTTGTTTTCCTTTGCTTTCTGGGAGTGAGATGCTGGATATGATTTATTGGTATTTCCCTCTCTCCAGAATTGAGATTCTGGCCTGGGACTGTGGAAACCCACCATCACTATGAGGCTAAATCCTCTTCTTCCCAGCAAGTGCCCGTCTACTTTTTAATCTTTTGAACATGTATGACTCACTGAGTTTAAAAGGTATTTCTGCATAAACCTGAATGGGAGGTTATTTCTCAGAACTTGGATAAATTGTACATGGTTACTTTAGAGACATAAGTAGTGCCCCATCCCCTAGCCAGTACTAACTCTCCTTTTTCAAATAATGCAGCTATGCTTTTTTTACTTGTTCTTTCTTATGTAAGCTCTGCATGTTTAAATATCTTGTATATTAGTTTAATGCAATCTTTTCACTGAATTAGTATTTTTCTGTAAACTCTGTTTCATAAGAACCTATGACCTCTTGCAAACTAGAAAAGTACTTTACGACTGGACTATACTCTGTGCTACTGTGTGTGTGTGTGTGTGTGTGTGTGGTCATTGTTTTTCTTTCTTAATAAGCTGAGACTTACTACAGATAAAAGTTTTATAGACCTATTGCCTTTTGTCACTTGTTTTACACACTAGACTTCTTAGTCTACACCAAATGTGCAAATAGTTAAATTCCTTTGTGGGTGAAGAGACAATAAATGTTCTGTAAAGTTTTCCATGCCTTTCACGTCATGAAAGGGATGTTTTTTCATTAAGCACCTTTAACCCATTAGCTTGTGGCTGGGCTTCAACTCTGAACTCTGTCGTAGAAACTCAAATATTTCATTGGGTCTAAGATTAAATTAAGAAAGTTGGAGATTTTAAAACCTGGTTATAGTGAAAAAATGGACAAAGGCGAAATATGTGAGTAACGGGTTTGTTTGTGGAGAGAAGAGGTGGGCAAACAAAAATTGTAGGCCAATATGAAGTTTGTAAATGTGTCTTCCATTTCACTTGAAGAGCCCAAGGCAGTGAGAGTGTTTCCCTTTTAATACGGAAAATGGCCTCTACATAGAATATCCTAAGAAAGACCTTCTGAGTAAAATATTACATTCAAGCTTTATTGCGTTCATTAAATCTGGGCTGAAGACAATGACATTAAAGTTAAATGATCCAAAGTGAGATATACTTGAAAAAGAAAAGAATTTTTATCAAATGTATAGAAATATCTCCACTAGATTAAACTCCCATTACAGAATTAAAATGTATGACATTGGTCATATGCTCCTTTCTCATATGACTCAGGCAAGACCAGTTTTGTGGCAATCCTAAATCACTGTATCTTTCCCTCACTGTTTATCTTGTAGTAAAAGTTTCAGGAAACTACAGGTAGAATACCTCTCTTATCTCCTCCATATTCCACAATTTTTGTTGCATCTTCTTTCCAGAGTTTTCTATGATTGAGTGATCAATGTTATCTTCATATTTATTGAAGTATTAAATAGCTGGTTTGCTATAAACTGAAGCAAAATATTTCTCCAAAAACTATTTCTA